GGCAACTTGAACATCACGCTGGAGACGCTTCAGGCTGCCCTTGCGCGAAGTTTGAATCTGTGCAATACGCCGCGTGATGAGACTGGGGGCTACACGCTGCACATAGTGTGCGGCAAAGGAGATTGGAAGCACAAGCGCGAGTTCTTGAGGACACCTCGCCGCTACGGACTGAGTGATCAGATCTGTGGTCGCTGCCTCTGCTCCGGATTGCCAAACACAGACAAGCCCTGGTATGATGCTGTGTTGGAGCGCTTCAACAACATCCCGGACCTTGCAGCTGCTGTCGATACCAGCGTGGGTCATGCCATACCGCACTTGGATCATGTTAGCAATCAGTTTTTTGTTTCGGTTGTTTTTTGTTTCCGTCAATGCCCTCGGATGGCAATTGCCCAATAAACAAGTAACATGGCCCTTGCGCAAGGATGAGTTCGTTTGGGGTTGAGGGCTTATATAAGGCACACTTATTGGGGTTTAAGCTTTCAACATCAAACATGAAGGCTTCGCTCTGTCAATGGATGGCACCCGGCAAGCGAGTGTGCGGATTTGCTCCATGCGCTATGGCTAGGTACGGCCCGAGACGCTGTGGGTTCGCTGGTGATGGACTATGCTGAATGTGTGGCCGAGCATTTGCCTACTTGGGACGAGCGTCTTGCTTGGGTACACGGCGAATTTCAGCACTGGTGCAAGCAGCATGGTGTTCGGCCATCGACCGTTGATGATTTGAGTTTCTCGCGCGTACTCATAGAAAGGATTTTCTTTGGGACTTTATTTAGAAAATAAAAAGTTAAAGCTGTGAATACCTTACCCTGATTTATGCCCAGGCCTCACCAAATTGTCCGTGGATGCTGTTGGCCTGGACTTTCCTCTTGGACCGTCGAAAGGCTATGCGAACAAAGTGCTGATGCTCGTTAGCAAGATGTCTGTCCAATGGATTTTGTTGGCATCACCCCATGCTGGCGCACCAACCCCGAATATCCCTAAACCCTAAACCCTAAATAGGCGGCAACTGTAGACTGAATTGAACCCTATATAATGATCTACGCGCAACTATATAGCCTCTCCACCCAGGGCGTGCTTCCTGGCGCATCGCCTGGCTGCCTCTTGCATGTCTTTAGTCGGGGAGTTTGTATAGTTTCAAACTTCTAGGGCTTGAAGGTTTGGGGCTCTAGGTTTATAGTGTAATGTTTTGGTGTTTGGTTTTTGTGCTCAGTGCATCCGGAAACCTTTCATATTCCCCTGCGTGGGGCATTGTTATTTGATGGTGTTCTAAGAAGGCCCAATTTCCCATTTTCAGCAAATGCCGTACGTCCAATTCAAAGTAAGGAGCGGAACATTCGTGGCCTGGAAGGGCAAAGTGTATGTGCTTGGGCGCTGAACCGCTACCGTTTCATTCTGGAGACTGCATCCATGTGGCTCACGGATGAGCAAGCCCGAGCTGCAGCAGCGATGCTTGTTGCACAAACAATCAAAGCAGTATAATTCCTTTTTTTGGGTGTCATGATCATGGTCGACTTGTGCTGCATGATAAGTGTGCTGGGTTTCAGAATGCAAGGAGTGGTCGAACATTCGTGGAAACATACATCGCACTCGCACAGATATCCTTGCACGAGCATCGCCCGCGCTACAAGTTGCGACCCAAGTTCCACCAATTTCACTGCCAATGCGTGCTGGCTTTGGTTTCTGATCCGGATGGCGGTGCGGGCGCAAGGCTGAACCCCCGCCACTTTTCCGGAATTATGGGCGTGTTTTTTTTGCAATATATGCTACACCCTAATACTTATCCCTATATAACCCTTAGCCTTTAATCTTGAGCCCTAAACGGTTCCCATGGCTGTCGCAAAGATGGCACGCACAATCGCAATGTACGGTGAGAGCTATAGGAACATGAACATTTGGATTATTTTGCGCGGAAAACACAATTCAAGGATGGGGGAGCTGCAACATGGAAGAGGATTTCGTGGGTGCCATGACACGTGTAATCCGCGGAAGTGTACATAGCGCGACAGTGGCGCGACGTGTTTTGCAACGATGGCTGTTGCATTTCAACGCAGAGATGATTCGCCGGGGCAGGGTGTGAAAATTCCACCGTTTGATGCAGGGTTATTAGGGTCATTTAGGGTATAGGGTTTCAGCCTCAAGCCGATTATGGGTTCAGGAGCCCGTTATATAAGC